CCTCCTCAAGCACAACATGTGGCACTCTACGTGCAGTAGCCACACCGGCAACCTTTTAGCCAAAGACGTGCTGGATAAAAAGTTAGTCGACAATGTGGTCATTGTCCTCAAAGAATTTAAGCAACCAGATTTAGAAAAAATGATAGTTGATAAGGGAGGGCGCAGAATCCAATTGCCGGCCGAAACAAGATGGTGCTCTTACCGAGATTCTTTCAAAAGTCTCCTAGAAAATCTGGTATATATGAAACAAGTAGCCGCTGTAACGAAAAAAAAGATTAAGCCGAAAGTCAAGGAATTAATCTTCAACGATGAATTTGTGGATGAGATTCAACAGAACATAGAAATTTATGAACCCATTTGTAATCTGATCAATGCTTGTCAGAAATCTGACACATCTGTAGCAGATGCCGTTCATCTGTGGCTCAATTTGAATCTGCCAGATAACCTTAAAGAAAAATTGAAACACAGACAACAAATGGCGTTAAACGTGTACGCATTAACTGCGTACTATCTGCATCCGAAATATGAAAATTCCAAGCTTACGTCAGAGCACACTGGTAGAATAACTCAGTTCTTACTCAGAAAGTTGTGCAATCAGGGCATAGAAGAATGGGACAAATTTAACACTAAATCGGGTAAGTCTTTCAGACAAAATTATCGCTCTTTTGATTTTTAATATATTAGGTTTACAATTTCAGGAATATTCTCAACACTTTGGGAAAAAGGAGTTGAAAAGCCTCTAGTATTTTGGCGAGTGGTCAAACTGGAATGCCCAATTCTTGCTAAAATGGCTCTCAGACTTCTAAAAATGCCAGCCTCCTCAGCTCAAATCGAGAGACTCTTTTCAAATTGGGGACACATTCACAGTCTGATAAGAAATAGATTAACGTTCACTAATTCCAAGAAATTGGTACATATTTATGTTTCATTAAAGGGAGAGTATCCTGATAAAAATAGTTATGACCTGGACGAGGAAGAAATTGTAGATATGGACGGGGAAAGTACAACTATTTGATGTATTATTGGTTAAATGTTTTCTTTGGTTAAAAATTAGCAAAACCGCAAAATGTTGTAATGTTTTTATTATGCAGTCTCTGCCAAAGCACGAAGAGATTCAACACTGTTTCAGTAATTATTATACTATAATTATTATAATAAAGAGTTAGTAAAATTTAAAAAAAAGTAAACGAAATGTTAGGAAACAAGGTAAGGTTTCAATGTACTGAGATATGTTTGATTGTGGTTTTGAATCTTACCTCGTTTACTGACGTTTAGGTTTACGTTTCTTTTTAATTTTTTTAAACCTTTCTGTAAATTTTACGAGTTTACGAGTAACGATAGAAAATTAAAAATCTATGAAAATTTGTTTTGCTGGTTTTTTCTGGTTTTGCATCTATATGGTAATATTTTAGATTCATTACATTGCATTACTCTATCATGAGGTTTGCACATAATAAATTGTCTCTATATGATTCTATTTAAAATTCATTTACACTTGAAAAACCTGCAATCAAACAATTATGGAATATCCTATGAATTTGACAATTGCAAGTTAATAGTGAGGTTAAAAGTTTCAAAAGTTTGAGATTATTTGGTCTCTTTGCAACTTGTTGAAACATTAATGCATACTTTTTCAATAAGTCAGCGCAGCCAGATTAACCTAAAATTTCAAATTAGTGCGCACGGAACGTCATTCTGATCGTTTGCTAATTGTCGACATACTCGACATTGTCGACATTGGCAACAAATTTAAATCACTCGACATCGACATGATTGTCGACATGTCGACAATCGAATTGTCGACATGACATTATCGACACCCGCCCATCCCATGGCAACTGTACGTAAATATGATAATATAGTTTACATTTGTGGTAGTAACATTACTTGAATACCTTGGCTTTTGATCCCCTCGATTGTACTAAGATTCTCTACAAAAATAAATTAGCAACCATTTTTTAACATCTTATTAAACTGTGGTTATATATTTTTAGGTCTCTACTGAGGAATCTCAACCACCAACCGACAATAGTAAAGAACCAAAACTTTTTATCTCTTATTTAAAAGGGCAAAGAATTTCGTTTATAGATGACAAGGCCAATCTAACTTGTGCTATTGAAGTCGATGACGTTTATAAAGATCAAAAAACAATTATATTAAAAAGAAAATTTTAGTAGGTGTCGAATAGTGTGATGACTATACCCAATAACGTCTGGTAAGTGTTTTCACACAAAATTATCTTTACCTATTTTAAAACCTATACCTCGAAAGCTACTTTCACTAGACCAAATACATAAAATACTTCAAATGTGGAAAAGAAAAGAAAAGAAAAGAAAAGAAAAGAAAAGAAAAGAAAAGAAAGAAAAGAAAAGAAAAGAAAAGAAAAAAAAGAAAAGAAAGAAAAGAAAAGAAAAGAAAAGAAAAGAAAAGAAAAGAAAAGAAAGAAAAGAAAAGAAAAGAAAAAGAAAAGAAAAGAAAAGAAAAGAAAAGAAAAGAAAGAAAAGAAAAGAAAAGAAAAAAGAAAAGAAAAGAAAAGAAAAGAAAAGAAAAGAAAAGAAAGAAAGAAAAGAAAAGAAAAAAAAAGAAAAGAAAATATTTGAAGAAATAAAATGAAATAAATGTGGATAAAAGACCCAATATATAACTAGAGAGAATGTATACGGTACCTGATATCGTAGGGAATATAAAACCACAAAGATTGAGATGGTTGAGACATATCCAAACGATGCAAACACGAGACTACCCAAAAAAAATAATAACGGAAGAAATAAGAGAGAGAAGAGAAACGGTATGCCGACAAACTAGGTGAAAGGAGGTTAAAAGAGACATAGAACTTAAAATCTCGAATTGGAAAGGCAAAGCAGAAGACAGAAAAGAAGATTTACCGTTTTTATGCGCTAATGTTCATTATATGTATCGTCCGATGACAGAAATTCGAAAAATTCTCTTAGTGCGTAGGTCAGCCCAACGAGTACATGTATTTGCCCGATTACCAAATGATCGTCAGTGGAATTCTTTTATCATGCATAATATAACTTTTATTCTGAATATTTTGCTTTGTTTCTTCTGTCTTATATAACAGTTATATTGTTTCCTAATATGTTTTACAATTAAACTGAGATTAAATATTTATAATAATATTACTATTTTCAGGAAGTCCGATAATAATCAATATGAGCATATTGGCAACACCTCCGGTTCAAAAATTGTGGTTACTGTTTCTATCTATTAAACAATATCAATAAAATATATACAAAAATATTTTTGTAGTTTGTTTTTTTTGTGTTTATATATATAATATATATATATATATATATATATATATATATATATAATATATATATATATATATATATATATATATATTATATATATAACAAGTTATTGCGTTGGAGTATCGGGTATGCGGTCTGTTATTAAAAAAAAAACTTTTTTTTCTTTTAATGCTCTATATTTCGCTGATTTTTTGTCAGCTTCATCAGAGACAACTAAAAAATGGTGAAAAGTTAAATAAAAATCAGGTGAGAATAAAAAATGAATCACTTACAGATTACCCAGACAGCACAAATACGTCCCATGGACGTCCGAAGGATGTACCTCATTAAATGCCTCATTTGAATGGTATATATCTTAATATTCAGTTCATTCAATTATTAATACCCTAGACTCTAAATCAATACGCATTTGCGATTATGCAAGTAGACCAATAAGCTCCCTAGTGTTTAAAACAAGCTTTCATCAAAAGCGGTTACTCAAGTCATTAAGTCACTCTTCTTATTCATTGCTGTTTTAATGTTATATTAACATTTCCAAGAAAACCCTTTTAAGATAGTTCCTCTCTCCATTCAATACTTTCATCTCATTAAAATTGATAGTATGTTCAGTAGACATATAATGTTCAGCGAAGGTACAAAAATCTTTATGTAACTTGCAATTACTTTTGTGAGAGATTATTCTCTCTTTTAAATTTCTTGAAGTTTGCCCAATATATGTACGCAACGACTAATATTATGTTTGCATCCGCATATGAGCATCCACATACATCAATCTTTAACTTAATTTTAACCCAAAGACTCGGACACTCATCATACAAAAACTCTTCTTCCTTACATCAAAGATGTCACTGACCAAATCGAAAAAATTCTTAAATCAAGGGAAATAAAGACAATATTTACCACCCAACAAAAACTTTTGTCTCTTGTCCTATCAATCAAAGACAAAATTCCAAATGAACAACATGGGGTTTATAAAATTCCTTGTGCAGACTGCTCCCGATCCTATATAGGCCAAACAAATCGTAGAATCCAAAATAGGATTTATGAACATCGTGAGGTCCCCTGAGTGGGAGAGACAAAAGCTGATGTGTGGTGGCAAGCGACTGAGAACCGGCCATAATAAGGACTTTGAGGAAAAGTTCCAATCAGATGCCATAGTATGAGAGGGCTGATGTTTAGCTGGTACCGGCTGTATTGGAGTTACGAAGGTCTGACTCAGGGGCAAGCTGGTCGTCGTGATTCTGAAACGGTTTTTTGATTAGGAACCCAGCACTTTTGAAAATGTTTACCCCCGGCGGCTGTTTGCTGATTCCAGACCCAGTGAAAAAAAGGAAGGGTTTGATGTAATTTTAAGCATACAAAGTGTATATATGTATATAGCAGGTATATTAAAGTAGCAAGGACTAGTACTAGTAACAGTGCTATTAAGCGAATTGCCTGCAATACGATTGGTATAGAACTGGGGACTTCCAGAATAAGCTAATTATACCGTGGCTGATGTTTAAACGAAAAAATCGTCAAAATAGAAAAATTAATTTTAATTATCTTATTATTACTAACTAGCTGATATTTTAAACAAATATATTACTTCATTTGCCCAATAAAGTATTTATTTTAATGTAATCGTTTTCCAAATATATGATAGTAGGTAATTAAAAAAATGATAAATACAATAATATCGACAATCTTTCTTTTGTATAGTATACAGCTCGTCAGTTTTGAAAAATGTTGAAATACGTCTGTGCCATTGCTATCGTACTTTTATTAAGTAAGTATATTATTTATATTTACTCATTATTTACTAAGAAAATGTGAGACAAAATCAAAAAATATTCCACATGTTTGTTTTGATTTAAAATAAATATATTATATTACATATATACAGGGTATTTTAAAAAAATATGTCATAAATTAATTATGCATTCCGGGGAAAAATAAATTGATTGAATCCAACTTACCTTAGTACAAAAGGGTACACAAAAAAAGTTACAGCCCTTTCAAGTTACAAAATAAAAATTGTTTTTTTGCATTATCTCCTAAACTACTTGACATTTTGTAATAAATATGGATACGTTAGTTTTTTGTTCTAAAAGCATTTTTTATAAAAAAAACAACAAAATTTAAGCACACAAAAAAATTTTAAGGGGGGTTTGCAGCCCTAAATCACCCCAAACTTTTGAGTACGTTAAATCAAATGAATTTTGTGGCATCATTAGTTTAACACATTACATTTTTAAAAAAAATTTGCCTTCTATCACTTTTTTCAAAAAACAGTTTTTATTGAGTTATGGCCCTTTTTATTAACCTTTAACTTACGTGCAACTAAATAAATGGCTTGAATGAATTAACAAGTACAAAAAATGTTTATAACCTCTATAAATAATATATTACATTAAATGTTCAAAATGACCCCCATTTTGAATGAAAACCGAATGCGCTGAAAAATAATATTTTTCTGACGAAATTGATTTGCAGCTTCAATTATTCCAACTCTCAATTGTTGTTCGTCCTGTATTGTTACAGAATTCACTTTCTCTTTTATAAATCCCCAAAAGCAAAAGTCCATGGAGTTAACACCTAGATTTAACACCGGGTGGCTAAGAAATAGGTGCGTCACGACCCCTTCCAATCGACCGACCAGGATACTGCCTGCAAAGGTATTCCCGGATTTTATTACTGTAATGAGGTGGAGCGCTATCTTGTAGAAACCACATATTTTGCCTTATTGCACTTCTTTCAAATACTCTTGTAAATCGTTTACCAAGAACTGCAAATAATTATCACCATTTAAATTGTTTGGAAGAATTACTGGGCCTATTAGATTTTTATACACAATTCCTGCCCAAACATTAACTTAGAAAGTCCTTTGGTGATAAGTCGTTTTTTTGGCGTGAGGATTTTTGTCGGCCCAAATGTGCCCGTTATGATGGTTTGTTATTCTATTTTTACTGAAGGTAGCCTCGTCAGTAAACAAAATATTTCTAATAAAATTAACATCTCGAGTGTTTTCCATTAACAACCAATCGCAAAATCCAATCCTTTCAGGGTAATCTTCAACCAATAACTCTTGAACCGTTGTTAAGTGATAGGGTTTAAGTAGCTGATTCCTCAATTGCCTCCAAACCATTACGCCAGGAACATTTAGTTGAGCAGCTATCTGAGCAGTTTGGAAAAGAGGATATAACCCGGATATATGTTTTTCAAGCAACAACCTCGAAGACCGATGTACCAAAGTAGTATATGGCCCCATACCAAAAACTCAGCATAGACCAATTGGTATAAATATCTTTCCAATTGTCAGACCACAAGCTATTCCATTCAGAAGGAGATTTAACTTCAAAAAGGCAAACTGGCAAAAGTATGCAGACATGCTAGATTTTGAACTACTACGCCTTGAACCAAAAGTAGAGAACTACGAAATATTCGTAGAGGTACTCAAAAATGTGTCTAGAAAAACTATCCCTAGAGGATGTAGACAACAATACGTTCCCGGGATGTCCAGCGAGTCCAAAGAACTAATGAGAACATACGAAACCCTCTATTCCACTGACCCTTTTAGCCAAGAAACGGTTGACTGCGGAGCAGTACTACTCCAACAGCTAAGTCAAGCCAGACAGGAAAAGTGGATTAAGACCCTGGAAAAAATGGACATGACACATAGTAGCAAAATTGCATGGAACATAAACCACCTTGCAAGGTTACAGCAAACCAAGTCGCTACTCAACTCCTTACGAATGGAAGAACTACTAACCGATATAAGGACCCAAACACTAGAGAAGATTGGATTCGGAGACAAACCACCTAGGAACTCCTTTTACACTAAAAGAACTCCACGACGGTCTGAACAGGTTAAAAAACGGGAAAGCTGCAGGTGTGGATGATATATGCAGTGAACAAATAAAGCATTTAGGCCAAGGAGCAAAAAACTGGATCTTGCAATTTTATAACACGTGCTGCAAAACCTGCAAAATTCCAAAATCATGGAGGAAATCTAAAGTAATAGCCTTGTTAAAACCAGGAAAGGATCCAGAAGACCCCAGTAGCTACAGACCTATTTCGCTATTGTGTCACTTTTTTAAACTATACGAGAGACTCATACTCGCCAGAATAGAAAAAAATGTCGACAAGCACCTCATCCCACAACAAGGAGGATTCAGACCTGGCAAATCTTGCACCGGTCAAGTCCTCGCATTAACAGCACACATTGAAGAGGGCTTTGAAGAAAAACTTATAACAGGGGCTGCTTTTGTAGATCTGACAGCAGCCTATGACACAGTAAGGCACAAAACATTGCTCCGCAAATTATACGATACTCTCAATGACCACCATCTGGGAAAGGTCGTATATTCCTTACTGCAAAATAGACGTTTTTTTCGTTATGCTGGAGGGTAAAGTAAGTAGGTGGAGAGTTCAAAAAAACGGCCTCCCACAGGAAGTGTTTTAGCACCAATGCTCTTCAATATATACACAAACGACCAACCTACTCCGACCGAAACCAAGCACTTCCTCTATGCTGACGATCTTGCAATATGTGCTCAAGGAAATAGTTTTGAAGAAGTGGAGGAGAAACTCGAAACTGCCTTAAAAACAATGACAGCGTACTACCTGCAGAATTCTCTGAGACCCAATCCCTCTAAAACCCAAGTCTGCGCTTTCCACCTTCGCACAAAGGAAGCCAAGCGAAAACTCCAAATTGTGTGGAATGGTAATACATTAGAACACACAAACCAACCTATATATCTTGGAGTAACTCTGGACCGGTCCCTCACCTACAGACAACATTGCATAAAAACAAGAGGGAAAGTAACAACTAGGAACAGCATACTCAGAAAGCTAACGGGAAGTAAATGGGGCGCACGTCCTGGCGTTTTAAGAACAACGGCACAGGCACTGTGTTTCTCAACTGCTGAATATGCATGCCCCGTTTGGAGCAGATCTGCCCACACCAAACAAGTTGATACTGCGCTAAATGAGACATGCAGGATAGTAACGGGGTGCATGAAACCAACGCCACTTTCAAATCTATATAGAGCAGCGGGTTTTGCAGAACCCTCAACACGCAGAGGCGCTGCAGAACACATAGAGAAAATTAAACAGATCGCGGACGATCGGCATGCCCTATACAAAGCTCGAACACCACGAAAGCGACTAAAATCTAGGAAAAGCTTCCTTGGAACAGTGAAGGATGAACCGCCTGAGTATTTTCCACTTCCCCAGGTTCAATGGACCGGCCAGACCCTAGACTTTAAAACGTGGAAAACCTTGAATAGGATAAGAACGGGGGTTGCTACAGTAAAATCAAACATGGCAAAATGGGGAAAAATAAACCAAGATGATGTGAACTGTGACTGTGGAGAAACACAGAATATGGAACATCTTCTTACATGCAGAAACTGTCCTCATCGATGTACCCTTGAAGATTTGTGGCTCGCCAACAAAGATGGAACCGACGTAGCCCGATACTGGGCCGAAATTTTATGAATGACATGTCCGGACACGATAAAGTAAAGTAAGTAAGCAGCTATTACCCTTGTACTTGTTCCAGGGACTTCTTCAATGATTTCTAAATTGTCTTCATCAGTTGCCTCCATTATTGGACGACCACTATTGCCAGCAACTTGCGGTTGAAATGTACCCGTTTCCCGTAAACAACGATCAATGGTCAGAAATAATCGTCTATCGGGTGTATTTTGATTGGGTATTTTACTGCATAACGCCTTGCGGCTGCTGCACTATTTCCTTGACATTCACCTACGATATTCCCGATAGTTTATTGAAATCATAATTTAATCTAATCCAACTTGCCCAAAGTTAAATGCATATCTGCCATTTCCTAAAATGTGTAGGCCATTGTAATATCAAAATTTTTAATATTAATCTTATTCACACAATAAATGATAGCTTCAAATTATTGACTATTATTGATAAAACTGTTTGTAATTATTGTATCCATAGAAACTAATTGTAATTTTATGACCAAATACGAAAAAACCAGTGAAAAAAGTAATAGGAGGCAAAAATTTTTTAAAAATAATGTGTTAAACTAATGGTGCCACAAAATTCATTTGATGCGCACGTACTCAAAAGTTTGGGGGGATTTAGGCTGCACATCCCCCTTAAATTTTTTCTCTGCGCTAAAAAATCCTAATTTTAAAAAATAACAAGTTAAGCATATTATTAGGTCAAAAATATTTTTCTTGGCTAGTATTTTTTGAGTATTAATTATATGAATGTTAAAATAACTGGCACATCTATTATAATCTTATTTTTAGTTTATTATTAGCTGACCTGATGAACTATGTACCGCCTTAGTATAATTCAATAATTTGATAAAGTTTAATAACTAAAAATTTATTTATATCTTTGTATGTGGGTATATTTAAAAAACCCTTAAAAGGGCTACATTGAATAATACAAAAAAAAGTTTCGGAATAACAAGTCCATCATCAGGTTTAAAAAGTACAAGGTTCCCATGCCTGAGCCACCAAAATATGAGGGTAAAAACCCTTTAAAATTTGTGTTGTTACAAAAGATTGTACATATAGTTCAGTTAAATTGTATTTTTGCTAGGAACGTTTTGGGGTAGGTAGTTCTGATTTTTTTCATTCCATATGTTTTTTGGGGTGGTTAATCCGAATCTCGGGTTTGCGGACAAAATTTCGTGACGCAACATTAAAAAAAACAGAATAAAACCGTTTTTTTTCTTCTTTTTTCGGGTTTTTTGCTTAAAACTCGAAAACTATTAACTTTTGGTAAATGGTCTATTTACGAAATTAAAGTACTTGAAATTTTCTACAAACACCAGTATTTAGTTTTTTTTTTCAGACGAATCGTTCGGTTTCTAGTGCGAGTTGAAAATTGTAAATTTTTATCATTTTATGCAAAACTCACTTTTTACATTTCAATATTTACTTTTTATGGATGCTGTCATTTGATAAAAGTCACATAGTTTTCCACACCAGTAATTAAAAAGAAAAAAGGAAAAAATTATGCAAATTCAATAGGTGAGTAGAACTCGTAACAAAATAAAACTTAAAATCTCGTTACTTATGATCATATATTATTATGATTATAAATTATAATATGCAAAATTTATATGAGCCGTTGTCTTTTGGAGGCCCTGGCTGAGATTCTTCGATAACGATGAGTCCTGGTTCTGCTTGTTCTGGAAAATAAAAGTTTAAAGTTAAGTTATTTATCAAGAAGAGATGAAGATTTCAAAATAGATTGTGAGATTAAACATACCTTCCGCATCGAAGTGAGGTTCTTCGATGGCCTTGGGTCCTGGCTTAGGGTCTGATTGCTTAATCTGCGTCGGGAGTCGTTCTCCTGGAAAATAAAAAGAGGAGAGACACATATCATATATCAAGAAGAGATGAATGACTACAAAATAACTTGTCAGATCCAACATACCTCTCCCTCTTTCTTCAGTTTTTCTACGTCTATGTCAGAGCTGTCTTCTGGGGCTCAACATTGTTACACAGTCCTTCGCATGATGCGCATATTGGGGAACAATGGAGTCCCGCCTTCCTGCATCCACAATTGCGTTGACAGCCGTGTTTACATTTACATGAAATGTACCGGAGTATTGAGTTTGGTGCAGGGTCCAAAGTAGTTGGTACTGGCACTGGTTGGTTAAATCGTTTAGTTTTGTCTCTTTTTTTTTCATATAGAGCCGTGAGAAACATGTTTCCTGCTGTGGCAATCTTATCTTCACTTGAACTAGGGTATTTAAAAGATTCAACTACCGATTGCAGATCTTTGTTCTTCTGCAGGACTTTTAGAAATTTCAGTTTCCCTTGATTAAACAATGCAGAAGTAGTATCACAATCACTCATCGCATGCAGGAATAAAATATGATCCAATAGGATTTTCTCAGCAGCCAGATGAGGGTTGTAGAGGCTTTGCGAAACCTTTCCTTTTCCTGACTTAAAAAAAAATACATTTTTTATATCAGGGCTACAAAGGCCAATCAAAATGACCAGTAGGTCGATATCTTCTCCCACCACTGTCACATGTTCATTTGACGGGGCCATCTCAAGAACTGTTGAGATAATTAGGATATCAGCATCTTCCACAGCTTGCTTTGAATGAATTTTTGCATCATGAAGTTTCTCCATTAACATAGATATAAACCGGCTCTTGTTTTTTGGGTTTGCAAGAAAACTATCCTGCGACACAGTGGGCACCATCATTTGCACTTGAGACCGAACGGTTCGTCTGTACAATAGCAAAAAAGTTAACAGTTTTCGAGTTTTAAGCAAAAAAGCGGAAAAAAGCAAAAAAAAAAACGATTTCTTCTGGTTCAGATTTAGCACCCCAAAACACATATGTAATAAAAAAATCAGAACTTCCCGAAAACTTTCCTACTAGTATCACTTTACAGTACAAATTTACTGAATCAATAATGTTAATAAAAATATGTGATTTTTAAATTAAATTTGGCTTCAGGTAACATATACCCATGGTTTGAGTTCCAGTGTCCGGAGAGTGTCACTCTTTTTTTTATCATCATATTCATGTTCAGAGAGCCAAAATTTACAAAAAACAACATTTTACACTCGAGTCGTAACTTGGTTGTACTCTAGTGTTATTTTCTTAATTTTTTTGTACTATTATTCGTGAAATTTGTAATCACGCAGACTATATGTTTGTGTATTATGTGTTGCATATGCATGGTCTATAATAATTGTAGATGATATGTCTGCGACTTAAACTGCTTATCTTTATTCTATAATAATTCTATAATAATAATAATCTATAATAATTAGACGCTACTCTTAACGTAATTAACATTTTAGGTACCAATTGTAAAGCTGATGATGATTACACAGTTAAAATAACAGTGCCAAGATATGTAAACGTAGGAGACAATGTTACACTTTATTGTGAGTACCGTCCAGATAACATATATTCTGTGAAGTGGTATATGGGACAATATGAAATTTTTCGATTTACTCCAAATGAAGATCCGCCAGTAAATGTATTTCCACTAAACGGAGTATCAATTGATGTATGTATAACTATATATTAACCTACAGTTATTACTTATTGTAAAGGAATAAAGGTGGGTATAAAATAATGAATGAATGAAGTTTGGTACTTGAAATAAGAGAGAGAAAGAGGTCTTTGAGTGACAGACATACGTTTGTCATTTCTTAATAACAATAATTTGAATATTACATAGTATGTATAGTAGGCACGTAATTTCGTTTGAAAATTTACGGGAACAAGAACAAGTAAGACACTAGCAAATTGGCAATAACGTTAGAGTAACTATTGTAATATTCTACTGCACAATAGCGTAGATATCTAATTTTAAATTAAATAAAAGTTATTTTTTTGCAAACATTTGATTTTAAGTGTAAATGATACCAACGCGTGTCCTTAAACTATGTGGGTATCAGTAAACGAGTATATTTTATTTTACTAAAAGATTTCATTTTCTATAAAGTTTAAATATCGGTGTTATCAACTTCTGTAATATATCTAGGTAGTGATAACCCTAATCGTTACGAATAAACAGAACTTATTGTAAAATAATAATATCAATATAAAAAAAATCGATAATAAAATCATTATCACATACAATTAAAGAGTATATTCAAATATTTACGTTTTATTAACACACCTGCTCATAAGTAACTTCCTCTTTTATACCTGATAACTTTTATGTTATTGTAATAAGGGAAAAATAGAAAATTCATTTTTAAATCAAATACAGGGTGTTCTATCGAAGAACCATAATTTTGGTTTAAAACTATGTTAGAGAAGACTAATGCCTGGTTGCACCAACATATCTTAAGCTTAGTACGTAGTAATTCGACCAAATGGTTGCAGTTGCTGGACAGTCTCTAAATCAGATTGGGAAAAGGAAATTAAGGGAATTTCTTCGGCAGTATCGTGATATTTTCGTACCGAAAAGAGGAAAGACGGGAAGAACTACCGTTGTTAAGCATAAAATTGATACTGGTAATGCTAAGCCAATTCGTCAAACAGCTCGACGATTACCACAGGCGAAAAGAGTGGAAGATGAAACGATCGTTCAGGAAATGAAGAAAGAGGGAGTGATAGAACCTTCTACAAGCCCATGGGTCTCTCCGTTTGTCCTGGTTAAGAAGAAAGACGGAACGACGAGGTTCTGTGTGGATTGCCATTTGCTGAACAACGTTACCAAGAAAGATAGTTATCCTTTGCCTTGGATCGACGACACGTTGGACAGATTGGCTGGAAGTAAATTGTTTTCTACTTTGGATTTGAAGTCTGGATACTGGCAGGTAGAAATGGACCCAGTAGATAAAGAGAAAACAGCTTTCACCACAGGATCTGGTGGTTATCTTGGAAAACATGTCTGGTTTATCTAGATGACATAATCGTCTTAGGGGAGACATTTGAAGACCATCTGAAGAATTTGGAAAACGTTTTTAATCGACTTAAAGCTGCCCAATTGATGTTAAACCCCAATAAGTTCCAGCTATTTCAAGGTAAAGTCAATTATCTGGGCCATATAGCCAGTAAAGAAGGAGTGGCCGTGGATAAGGGAAAAATCGATTCCATTAAGGAATGGCCAGAACCAACTGACAAACATCAAGTAAGACTATATACTTACTACCAAAGGTTTATTAAGAAGTTTGCAGATATCGCTAAGCCATTAACGCGACTCACAGAGGAAGCAAGAGATTACTGTTGGGATACAGACTGCCAAAATGCCTTTGAGACCTTAAAAAAACATTTAATCACAGCACCAATTTTTAGGTATCCACTGCCAGAAGGAGAGTTCATCTTAGATACAGATGCAAGTAATGTGGGAATTGGAGGAGTGCCGTCTCATATTCAAGGAGGACAGGAAAGAGTCCTTGGATATTTTAGTAAAGTTCGCTCAAAACCTGAACGGAATTATTGCGTCACGAGAAGAGAACTTCTGGCAGTAGTGAAATCAGTAGAGCACTTCTATCAATACCTCTATGAAAGGAAGTTTTTAATCCGAACCGACCATGTCGCCCTTAAGTGGTTGATGCAGTTTAAGAATCCAGAGGGTCAGATAGCCAGGTGGATCGAACGACTCCAAGAATACGACTTCAAGATTGAGCACCGGGCCACCGAAACGCTGATTCTTTTTCCAGAAGGCCATGCCCAGCAGAGTGTTCTCACTACAACAAAACGAAATCCAAGGAAGCAGCAGTGTTAAGAACGACGATAGTCAACGACGACTGGACGCCTACTAAGATAAGGAAAGAACAAGAAAGAGATCCAGTTATACAGAAAATCCGAAAATGGAAAGAGAAAAACCGTCAACCACTTTGGCAAGAAATATTAAACCTATGCTCAGTAGTTAAGACGTATTGGGCCCAGTGGGACTCATTTATCATGGAAGATGGTACTCATTTATCATGGAAGATTTCCAGGACTTGCTCAAACAAGTCCCTCTATTTACAGTCACGTGACACGCTGTCAGATTTGTGAGGACGTTTTAGTATTGAGTCTTATGGGATTATTTTGTTAAACTTAAATATTTTATTTTGTAGTGTTAATATCCGGATACAATTTTTAGAATTAATTAGTTATCTATTTATAGTGACATTTATAGTTCAACAAAAATATTTTTTGTCGTTAATAAAGATTTATTAACATAATCTACGAAAGTGAGGTTATATATACATGATCATCCAATGATCATACAATGAATATGTTCATTATACCATGCACAAAAGCGTCCTGATAAAATTTTAAGCAATTGCCACCGTGAGCATGTCAGTCGATTTTGCTTTGGCACTTTGTTAACCCTCGGAGCGAATAGTTTTTTTTTTCTTTTTTAGACTTAGTATCATAAATATTAATTTCAAGGAACCCTTTAAATTCTTGTTTTTACTTTAAATTAAAAAGTTTTGAAGAAAAAATTGTAGTGAAGTAGTTATTCACTTTATATGAAGCTACTTGATTATAGTATGAATTGCCAATGAACTGTTTGTCCGTATCATCTTGTTCTTTGGTCTTTAATATTTTTATTTTGATGTGGATCTATTCTACATTTTAGTTCTTATTTTTCAGTCAATGGGCTGGGTAAACATAACTGCATGAAAACTATAGATTATTTGTGATTTCAAATTTTAGATTAACAACAGCTTAAGTAACAAATTAGTCTTAAAAAATCTAGAAAGCAGAGCTACTGGAAGATATGTATGCGAGGTATCTTGGGAGGCGCCATCATTTAAAACTGCTATGAGAGGACAACTGATGCATATAGTTGGTAAGTATACAAGAATAAAACATTTTATCCAGTTGACCTTTACCCTAATAAGGTTTCTACAATCCACTTGTTAAACATTGCTATCATATGAACATTATCACTTTCAATGATAATACGTAAATTGCAGTGTTTTGTGACTAACTTTTTAACAAGATCAGAAGAAAAACTAATGGCTTATTAAAACAAAGCGTTTCTAATTACGTAGAGTCGTATAACTCGATGATATTTGTGAATATAGATAACCTTCCTCTTTTTTTTGTGGATGTCCAAGAATAAACGAAAGTCCACAACTGTCTAATAGAATATCGGTCATATATCGGTTAATAAGAGTACCACAGTTATAAACAACGTAGCCCCCCTTCGATTTAAGTAAAAAATCCACAACTTGGCAGATTTTTAATCATACTTAACAATCATACGAAAAAGCTAATATTAATTTTCGAATCAAATCACCAGATGACATAGATACAGCAGCTCAGTACTTTTTGCACATTTGTGCATAAAGTGAAATAATAAAATAGTAAAGAAAATTAAAATGAATTAATGTAGGTATATATGTACATATAGCTGAATATGATTATATTTTATATTTCATGTAAGGGAAGAAGTTTTTCAATTGTTAGTAAGGTATAAAGTATGCCTGGAAAAGTTGGCAACAAATAGGAAATTTCTTTTTCCGTTCTTCTGGACAAATAAAGAAATTTGCCATTTTTGCCAACTCTTTCAGACATGAAACGGAAAACTTAAACATAACAAGTCAACATGTATAAATATGAACCTTTTAAAACGAGTAAATCGATACTCATCGAAGGGACCACAGACGTTCGTATACAATTAGCGACTCTTTGTACAGACAATAAAGTCGACTTTACTAAAGTAACAAGACATTTACTCAACACAAACACTAAACATTACTCTTCTGAGTTAGTGATAAGTTATAGTCCAAAAAAATCATTATGAAATTGACTGGACAGTTAGTTGTAAAAACCAGTGCCAGTGTGAAAACAAAACATTTTCTTCGTTAAGAAAATAATGATTAATAAGAATAATTATGGAAAATTTGTAGGTTTATAAAAAGAGTTTTTTGACATTATGCTTGAATGATTTGAGCTGATTATATGTACCTATATACAGTTGTGCTATGCTTGGCTATATGCCGGTCCTGGTATCTTGGGTAGCTGTGACAATTATACAACAATAGAATATTTACAAGGGATTATTCAGTTTTACAGCGGTTATTAAAATAGCTTTTATAATGAGACACCAAATTTCTGGATATAGTATACTACAAAAGCTGTGCCAAATTCGTGTTTTCCTGTCTGGTTTCCACTGTAGAAAATGACCGCCTTGTCTATTTTTATGTTTCCCGTGTCTAGCCACCTTCATATAAGCTTTAATTTGTGTATATGAATTAGTATTTATGTCATCATCATCATCATCATTATCAGCGTATTCTACCAATTATTATGGTGCAGCCTCCCTTACATAGTCGTTCTTCATGTCTGCCCACGACTAATATTCGCTTTTCTGTGCCATGTTGTACCGGCTTGTTTCCTTATGTCATAGTCCCATCTTAAATTTAGAAGTCTTCTAGTATTTATGTATTAGTATATATATTCTGGATTTATACATCTAGGTAATTTTAATTTTTGTACTCAAATACTTTTTAAATTTTATATTATTTTAGAGAAACCGGAAGGTGAAGTGGATCTAACAATAGATAATGAAAAAGCTACTTGTACAACGCCTCCAATAAGACCACGTCCAAACATTATATGGTTTCTCAACGGAGTCCAGGTAAGTAAATTATAATTACATTATGGGCTGAACGTTTCTATGATTACGATTTGCTCAGATGCATATTTTCGACTTGAGCTTACCTTTACAAAATAAATATATTTTAATATGATAATATCCCAGGGCTCTTTTAGTATTTAACAAAAAACGTAGCTTCATGGTTTTTCTTCATGGTCCTTGAGGAAAGAATAGACAATAGAAAAACAAATTTACAAAAACTACGAATCCATAAAGAAAGTCTTATACATTTTTAAAATAAATCGAGTATTATAATTTTAGAATAAAAATCAAGCATGCATCAAATCGTACCCCCAAAATTATCAATAAAATATTAAATAAACTTATATCCAAATCAAAGATCTTTTATTTTATTCTTTTATTTACTGTTTTACTAGTTGCTCAAAAAAATTTGCTTTAATTTTCAATTAAAAACAACAAAAAATTCAAAACAAATAACTCTAATCTAAATAGATGGTGGTGGTTGATAATCTATGTTAACTAAATGACAAAACTAACATTTTTTCGTCAAAACGGCTGACTTCACTTTATTCTCCTTCGATTGTGACCTGTCCACTTCGCTCGTATATTCCTTCTTCTTCTTCTTTGGGCATCATAACCCTTGATGGGTCTTTGCCTGTCTGGCTATGTCCTTCCATTCAGATCTTTCTTGTACCCTTCTTCTCCATTGTCGTATGTTCATTGTTTGCAGGTCGTCTTCCACGTCATCCAACCATCCCGTTCTGGGCTTTCCTTTTTTCGCCTTCCTATGGGCTTCCATTGTAACATTTTCTCTGTTGTTTTTGCACGTCATGTCTGCACATGTCCCAGCCATGACAGTCTTTGACTTTTCACAAATCTTACAATGTCATAACCTTCATTTAACTCATTAACCTCGTCGTTTCTCCTTATTCTCCATGTTCCATCTTCCTCTTGTACCGGGCCATATACTTTTCTCAGTATTTTTCTCTCGAATGTCCCGAGTTGGGCTTCATCTTTTTCGCCATTACCCAAGTTTCACATCCATAGGTTACTACGGGTCTAATCAGTGTTCTGTAGATAGTCATTTTGGTTTTTTGTCTAATAATTTCGATGTCATCAATCTTTTATTAGCCTAGTATGTACGATTCCCGCTGGAAATACGTGCATTAATTTCGCTACTTACGGAGTTCTTCTGATTGATTTCTGTGCCGAGATATGTAAAGGCATCCACTCGTTCGATAGTATAGTTGTCTATTGTGATATTATTTTCATTGTCAATTATTCTTTTGACTGTCATATACTTCGTTTTCGCTTCGTTCATGTTGAAACCTCTTTTTCTTGCTTTAGGATCAATTTGTTTAAACACTTCCATTAGTCGTGGCTTATTCCTACTAATGATGGCTACATCGTCTGCATATGCAGTGATTTGTACTGATTTGGTGTTTATATGGCCGGTTGTGTTGGTTTTTCTGATGACTGCCTCAAGAACTAGGTTGAATAGCATGGTTGATAGGGCATCTCTCTGTCTTACTCCCATGTTGATGTTAAACAGGGGAGTCAGCTCTCCATCTACTCTGACTGCGGCTTTTGAATCCTGCAACGTCATTTTCATGAGGCTGATGTATTTCTTAGGTATACCTAGATTACAAAGGTCTACCAGCATTCTGTCTCTTTTCACACTATCAAAAGCTTGTTTAAAGTCTATATACATATTATATAGGCCTATGTCGTATTCATAAGCTTTTTCTTGTATCGTTCTTAGTATGAATATGGTATCTGTAGTGGCTCTATTTGGTCTGAATCCATTTTGATAATCAATAATTATATAATTTATAAATATAAATAATTAATTTTATGTGTTTTTACGTAAGTTAAAAATTACCAGCTCTCTTATTTAATTGATGTAATATATTCCTAAAAAAAATAAAAGCATGTTTGTTTCTAGAATTCTGGGGGTACTCCACCAAGAACTAAACAAAATGATCGAGATTTAAAAAATTTTAGCTCTTTGTTTACCCTTAAAGGTGGTAAGGAAACCTACGACAACGCAAACTTGACATGTGTAGTTCAAATTGGAGATGTCTACAAAGCACAAAAGTCAATAACTTTGTAAAATAGTCATAAATGAACGTACTTAAGATTCAGAAGAATAGTCTGTTGTTGGTGAGTATAAAATTGATTTTTTAGTAGTGTGGCTAATAGTATCAGAATTAGACGTATCACAAAGAAATTTTAAGTTTAAATTATAACTATTTCAGTCGGCAAAAGAATATATTGTATTTATATTATAGTTGTATAGAGTTATGTAGAGATATACAGGTTATCCCAAATAAATGTATGTTTCATTTCAAAAATTATAAAGATATGCTAGATACATTTTTTTATTTGCATTTATTATTTAATGTCATTCAAATTACTTGGATTATAGACGACAACAATGGAAAAACACACAGAAATTGAAATATTTAATATATAGATTTTAATTAAAGGTACTATTATCCTTAAGAATGCTAAAAAATGACACATTTAGAACTTAGGCTTTTTTTATCATGTTGTCGGCATATAGTTGTCTTTTAACTAGTTGTTGACATTGTTTCAAAATATCTTTAATTGCAATAAGAAATAAAGTTACACTTAACACTGATATTTGAGAGCTATATACATCGCACATTGAAATCAAAAGTGGCACTATATAAAAAACTCAATTTTACAGTATAGCTGTTTAAAGTTTTTGAACATGATTTTTATACCCAGACTTAAACATAAATTGAAAACAAGCAATGTCATTAGTTTTAAATAATAATTTAATTATCGCTTTTTCAGTATAAAATAACTTTTAAATAAATTAACTAGTGTTTGTTGAAAAAAAAGGTATTTGAAAAAAAAATTCAGTATAGTGTCACTTTTGTTTTTATATAATCAATTATTTTTTGTTTAATGGCATATTTAATTCATTAACTCTTCTACTATTCTACTACTCCAATTGAGTAAATGAATGTCAGGAATAAAATAAAAGCTAATTTTAGATGAATACAGTATTTATTTGTATGCACTACAAAAGAAAGTCTTACTCGAATCAGTCACGACAATATCACGCAATGTTTTAATTAAAATCAAATATTTTAAGACTATCAAAATAAACTAAGAAAATAAATGAATCGTAACAAAAAATGCAAATAGGCATTTATAAAAATGTGATAATTAAGAGCTATTACATTTTCAATTAAAAATACTTTCATAATAGGATCGGTAATATCCAGGAATCAACCCCGAATCCACAAGACTCCTCACGTCATTGTTCTTCCTTTCGGATATAACCAATTTTTGGTGGTACAATGGTTTAAGTTCTTGAGGTCGGCTGTTTCTGGATGTTCTTTTTTCCAAATCAAGTTCTTTGAAGTCATCAAAATAAGACGTTTTATAGAATATTTTAATCTTATTCATTACGTTCTTTTCAATTTTAATGCCTTTTATATCAGATAACTTTCTGTGATTTTCACGTCTTCCTCTCTTTCACCTTCTAGAATACCAGTAAAAGTGTATTTTTGTAGAATGTCTTGCATACTCTGGTTTTGGTACTATTTATTTCAAAATAAAAAGCATTTTTTGCCTTCCTATTTGAATTCATTTTCTTGTATTGATATTTCGGGATAATATTTTGAACACTACGAGCTATGTATTCTCTTTGTCGGTCTAAACAAGCCATAGCCCAGTAAACATCAAACAGTTTTTGCCTTGACCCTCCAAATATTTTATCTGAGCATTTCAGACGACAGCTATTTCCACAAGTTTGTATTAATATTTTTACCGGAAAAACCTTTTTTGTTTTGGAAGTTGAAACATATTCTTGACCGGCATTTCTTAAATTCTTCGCAATACTGGCATACCTCGGCTTCTTTTTCTTCTCCTTATTTGGTTTATCCTTGCCATCAAAAGCTGAATGGGCGGCATTATTGTCATCGTGAGCTTGAGTACTTTGGTCATCTAACTGAGAATTTGAAGCTGTAGGAGCTACATTATCAACTTGATAATTATTGTCAAAATCCCGTTCCAAAAAATCGTCATTCAACAGCGTGCCAGAGACATCATTTGCAAAATTTTCTTCGACATCATTGCCGACATAATTATGAGCAGTTGGTCATTTGTAAGATTTTCGTCATTTTTAGTAACTTCAGGTAACTGGTAATTTAGGTCGGTATTTATCCTGCAATTAATTACTTTGGCTTCATCAGTTTTTGAAAGATTAACATTGCTTGCAGAAGTTTCGGTATCATGAGTACCTTGATTAGCTTTAGAGGTTGTAGGCAAATCAGACGACGTACTTGATGAAGAAGTCGAGGAACTAGAGGAAGAAGAAGAGCTGGATGAAGATGAGGATGAACTGGAGGATGATGAAGTCGAAGTAGATCGGCGGCGTTTCTTTTTTGGGGGTAAGTACGTCCTATCATCATCTGAGGCGGGAGAAAAGTCGCCATCATCACTGATTTCAGCAGGTAAAAGGTTAGAGCTGTCTCCAGTTTCATGTAAATTATTCATAATATTTAAAGCAGAAAATGTTATTTCTGTAAGTAAAACATCAGGCTGTTCGAAGTTTCTGGTGGAAGTAGGCACAGTATTTTGGGTATTACTGTCATTCCCAATTGCCAGTTGTAATATCTTTTTTCCTCTGCTTCTTGATGGATTCATGATAGTTCTTATACCTTTAACAAATAGTACTTTTTTAGGTTATATTCAAAAATTAAAGTCATTGGTAGTAAATACATAGAAATCTAAAGTGATAGACTTATAAAATAATGAAATTAGCCTTTTACAAAGTTTTAGCTTTTATAAAATAATACGGAATAAACGTGATAAAAACAAAATGTCGGTGTTTAATATCCTAATTCTCTAATTAAATATACATTTTTAAATAAAACAATGACACTTTACTTTAAATGACGTCTATTTAATATGGCAAGAAATTAAAAATATGACATTTAAACCACAAAAATGACACTAAGCACAATATGCCCCTTATTTATGCTATATAAACACAGTTATCTGGAATAGTTGAGTAAAATATCGGCACTTTACAAAATATGCCAATAACGAAATCATAATTTGTTGTATTTTTACTATCAAGTAATTAAAAAAACACGACATTATACAAAATATGTCACTTTTTCACTCACCTCAGCTAAGACTCGTTGCGGCGGTTGGACCTTTACTGGTTTAGTGTCGGTTTTTCGGTCACGACCCATGCTCGCGACAACAAAGTAAGAAGTGACATTAGCGAAGTCTACAGAAAACCGAGCGAGCTATTACAACAGAGATCTTTGCAACAGACGTAGTTTTGCTCGTAGATTTTAGATGTCGCTGTAACTAAAAACCACCGAATTTAGTATATTGCCACTTTTGATTTCAATGTGCGACATTATTTTCGTTAAAGTTCATTGCACATCATCAATGACATTTCTACATCCTCATATACGCTTAGAAATTCCAAATTATTATTTCTAATTATTCCTAATTATTATTATTATCTTCCAGATTTAATTGTACAGCTAAATTTCCCTCTAAGGGAAAAACTCTTCCCAGATACATAAGTATTAAAAGTATTAAAGTCTGTTTAGACTGTTTCTATGTTATTGATTCCTTGGTGACTTAGTACTCTAAAGTATCTCTCTAAAATTTTCATAAACATCTGGACATCAAGACTAGAATAGTTTTCTGCATTGTCTTATAAGGATCCAGCTATTTTATATTTTACAGGAGGTTCTTCGGACGAACTCTATTAGTAGAGGAAAGAATAGGTACAGTCTATGTACTTTCCATTCTCCATTGTCTTCGTATTTCTATTTGAAGATTTCTGAATTTGCTAATCTTCTCGTTGTTTTTAACACGCAGGTTATTGTTGTTAGGTACCACCACACCAATTAGTGTAGTTTGTCTGTGAGCACAGTGCAATCCTAGTGTAGCTTGTAGTAGCCGTTTTAAAGTATTTTTCTCAGAGATATCAATAATAAGGAAGATGATCGATTTGAAGAAGTCCTAGTTTGTAGGCTAGTTCTTGGTGACTAATCTTTTCTACTGAGTCATGTTTCTTATATTCAGTCCTGAACATACTTGGCAGCTCCTGGTAAGAGTTGGATGGTTGTTTGGACTTGACATATATATCGCCATTTGTTATTTTAAAACCTAAGGGTCCTTGACAATATATTTTATTAAATTTGTAGTTGAAATAACCTGATCCTGATTGGCAAATATAAAACTCTCTGTATAAAAGTCTCAAAAAATATCTTTTTTAATTTCAATCGATAGTTCTACGCTGTATTTTGACATATATTTATCCTTATGATTTAGCCCTTGCAGTAGTTTGCTTAACTAGGTACATATTTTTTTCTGACAACCGTAAATTGCGCAATGTAAAGTAGATGTCTCAGCAGGCTTTCGAAAATAGGTTCTTAGATTAGCCACCTGTTTATCCAGTTGCTCACCTATGTCCATTCATTTCTTCTTCCCAAATACCGCGGTTATTTTGTTTTTCCTACTGCACTTTATGGGTGATGTTTATTGTCTTTGTAAGAAATGCTGTTACTTTCTGCTGAAGACTTTCTATGTTCACTTTACAATACCAAGTGAGTAGTTAAGCGCAGAATTTGCGTATGTATTTAATGTACTAAATGAAAATTCTAAAAAATAAAAACCTAGATGAAAGAGATTTAAGGCTAATAAAAAACCTTTATTACAATTAGCGAGTAATAGTACGAATTGAAAAAGAGACATCTGAAGAAATGGAAATAAAGAGACGAGTCAGGCAAGGCTGCATCCTATCACCTCTATTATATAACACTTACTCTAAAGAGGTAATTCGAGAAACTCTGGAAGATGAAACAGTAGGCATAAGAATAAATTGAGTCTTAGTTAACAACATCAGATATGCAGATGATACAGTAATAATAGCCGATAGTTTAAAACACCTGGAAAGAACTCATAAGAAAAATAGTAATGTGTAGTAGGGAGTACGGACTCTCGCTCAATATCAAAAAGACAAAGTTTATGAAAATTTGTGGCAAAGATTTAACATTAGCTCTTAAAGTAGCCTATACAAAATATTACGTATACAGTGTACTATACTATGGAATGGAATCATGAACGTTAAATCTTGACAAAATCAGACGACTTAACCCTTTTGAAATGTGGACCTATAGAAGAATTATGAGGGTTTCTTGGGTAGATAGAGTTATGAACAATGAAGTACTGAGAAGAATAGGTAAAGAGAAGGAAGTTGAACTTAAATTAAGGAAAGAAAGCTACAGTATCTCGGACATGTGATGCGGGGCGAGAAGTATGGCATCCTACGACTCATAATGCAAGGAAAGATATATGGCAGAAGAAGCATCGAAAGAAGACGAATTTCATGGCTTAAGAACCTGAGAGAATGATTTGGATGAAGCTCAAACAACTATTTAGAGCTACTGCCTCAAAAATAAAAATAGCTATGATGATTGCCAACCTCCATACCGGAAATGGCACCTAAAGAAAAAGGAGAAAAAATTTTTTATTATTAAAATATAAGCGACCAATCTGTTTATATACATTATTAAGTTAGTTCAGTTTTAATTTGTTTATGGTGAATTAGTATCTGGGAATGTCGGTTCATTGGTAGACAGAATCTGAAACCTCAATACTCCGGGAGTATTGGATTTTAGGAAGTGTAAGACTTCCAAATTCCAGAAGAACTGGAAGAGAGGTGATGAAAATACTAAAAATATGGCTAAGCTCAAAGGAACAAAGTTAAATAGCCAAAGAGACACTAAATCTCAAGTGAGTGTTCGGGTTAGCTTCAATGCACTGAATTATGGCTTTAAAGATACAAAGCAGATAGCAAGGATCATGAGCTAATGAGACAAGAAACGAAATGAGACCTGGTAATATCAAATGTGATACAACTAAAGAAGGTCACTGGGAATAAATTTATAGAAAGAGAACAAATGACCGGAAACAAACGGTACTAGAGATAATAACCTGAAATCCAAAATACTAAATATTAATCTTGTCTTACTAATTAATCTATATTATATACTGGTTAGTAGAACTGAAATAAAACTCAAAATGGTAATAATAAATATATTTATAAAACATGTATATAGATATATATGTATGAACAATTTACATATAATGCAAAGCTAAATAACAGTGGTAGTGGATGGTGTAAATATACAATAGGACCTAATAGCCCCTCAATAAGCGAATAGTCACTACCACTGGCCAAGTAAAGTGTGAAATGTTAGTAAACAACAAGAATAGTCCGTATGGTAGCCAAAGTCTTAACACAAAAAGGTACTAATTTAAATTTAACTAATTCAACTAAAATGAGATACAAATTACAATATTGTAAAGATATCAAACTTGATAAATCTATTACAATTATTATATTACATTACATCCAAAAAGTGAGTCTTCAATACTCTTTATATAATGTTTTAAAAAAAAACCACATGAAATTTATTTCCCTTCCCAAAATCAAAATTGTATTATATCAAAAATGTATTCTATTAAAAAATATATATATTAAATCAACAAATGAGTTCGGTCAGACTCTGTATATCCTATTTAAAAACCTAATAAAAACATGTAATATATTTTCCCTCTGCCAATAATATCAAAATTATATTTTATCAAAATGTAGTTACTTGATCATATGCATATGAAAAGTTAACAAAATAGACAGTAACAAAAAAATTACACAATCAAACAACTTATCTTTACAGCACTATAAGTCCATAGGAAAAACTCCTCTTGGCACGGCTAAATTAATTTGTTGCTGTAAGGACAAACCCAGGTGAGTCTAATGTAGTTTAACCAGGCACTGGTCTATCTGCTCCGAAAAATCGGTAACTCCATAACCGAGTTGTTAACTATTCAAGAAATTTTGTTACTAGTATCCTTGAGGGAATATTCTCAAGAGAATACTCTCAAGTGAAGTGACGGAATCTAAAAAGGTTATGTAATTTAATAAATGCAATTCAATAGGTGTAGCAGCATGGATTGACTGCAGCAAAACAAAACATCAAAATAGGTTAAGTCAACATGTCAAAATTTCCGAAGTTCATTTCGTAGACGTGACAGGCTTGCGCCATGAAATGAACACGCGCAGAACACAGAACTCTGTAGAAACCTTGTATATTCCACCAAAAAAAGTTAGAGAAAAAAAAGAAACAAAAAACTTACTGATAAGATATGGAATAGATCGGACTTTAAGTTTGACTATATAAAAAAAATTACCTTCTGTTCTTTGCAAGTAAATCAAGGAAATTTTAAATTTAAATTATTTCGGAACTCAAAAATAAATCTCTAAAGAAATACTAAACTGCAATGATAAATTTGATTGTATGATAACGAGATAATACGTATGAAATTATTTACTTACATGGAGCCGCAGCACGCCAAAAAAATCTTCCTTTTTATGTGGAACTCTTAGATTAATATTGATTTTAAAAAATTAATTAATATTATTAATATTTCTATTTTATTCTTCCCCAAATTATCTTCTTTGCTCCAATTCCGTCACTTTGAAGGTGAAAAAATTTCACCGGTTGACGTGGCTGCGTATGAGTTCTGACCAAAACTGATCGTTCTCTACCGCACAAAATCGATCAATCCTTTCAAAGCGCTCCCAGCGCGTTAGTGGAGAAATGTCGATTTAAAAATCGATCGCTGGCGGAACACAAGAAGTTTCTTGAGGGGTTAATCAGTAGCGTAAACGCTACAAATCACAGTGGACTTAATAGTCTCATTTAAAAGGTCCAGTTTAATTAAGATATCTTTAGTTTCGATATTTTTTTTACTGAGTATTTGAAGGTGAATTTTTGTCTTCTACTCCATCATTATATGCTTCATTACAATCGACTTTATATATTCTCAATATATCTATAAGTCATTTATGCAGCACTGGATCAAAGGTTTTCTTGTAGAAAACGAAAACATAAAAAAGGTTCCTTTGGTGTATGCCTGGTTAGAAATAAGTCGATTATAATTGTCTTTTGCAAGCCATGGAACCCTTAGCGAATCCTTTCTGTTGTCTCTTTTTATTTTTATTTAGAACACAGTATAATATTATTATTCGTAATAATTATTACTTTTTGTAGTATTCTACATACTTGCATGGACAAAATTCTAATCAAAATAGGTAGTAAAAAGTTTCTCTTTTCTCAGTATATTTTCTAAAAATCATTGTTGTATTTTGCACCGGGTAAATAATTCCTTAGCCCTTAGACGTTCTACTAATTATAATAATTATAATAATTATAATTTGTGATATTAGTAACGATTATTATTTTTCCATATTTTACAAAACCTTTTAGAATTTTAATATGTAATTTTGGATTTGCAGAACATGTAAATAAAAAAAACTGTTATATATGTAAAATATAAGTTTTTCCTCCATTAGCATTAAACGTATTAGTAATTGTACACAATATTTTTATTACACGAATTCACTTTACTTTAATAAATAATTATATTGTTATTTTTAGGAAACCCATACTCAATGCTAGCGTGAATATATTTGCAGCAGTTTTGATTTATTTTTTATTGTATAATATGTTAAAGTTTGAATCTATCTTAAAGTTTAATAAAATTTTAAAAGCAAATTATTTTTTACTAAAAATACACACACACACACACAACACACACAACTTGTCGAAATGGCATAGAAACTCATAAACAAAATCTGAGATTCGGAAAAAGAAAAACCAATTGGAAAAACTATCCTGTCCTATTGGCGACGTGCAAGTACTTGGAGGGGATACGAGAAACGATCGTGCGTGAGTAGCGGAGAAATTTTGCATTTGTTACTGCACATTCCATAGATTTCATAAATTCATATTGTCAATTGTCATATTTCATATTCGTTTTGTTTATTTACACCTTCTGTCACTGAAGAAAATGGGATTTAGGAAATTGTGTGTAATAAATTGTAAAAAATACAACAAAAATTGTCAATTTAAGTTTTATTCGTTTCCAACTTCGAAGCACAAAGCTACTACAAAGAGAAAAGTGGATTTATATCATAAAAAAGCATAAGTAACATAACCTAAATTATGCATTATTCTTGCGCCCGATTTTGAAGTCAGTTTGAAATAGATAATAAATAAAAGTTCACTTTAAAGTGTAAATTTTAGTTTCATAACACTCACTTACAGTTCATTTTAACCCAAAAATCAAGTTTAATGTTTAAATTTTATTTTTTTGAAGTTTACAAGAATGCATCAAGTTTTTCTGAAGATGCATTAAGATATATTCGCTGTCCAAAAGTTTACAGGATAAGAATTAATTGTTCAAACCAATATGATGATATCATGGGCTTAACCTGCTAATTTATGCATTTATGCATTAGCATTATTTATGGTAATTTATTTTTCTTAATTCTTCCATTCTTTTTTGACATTTGCCACTACTAAAGCTTTTCTCTTTGACTCAGTGCTTGGTTGAAAAGTTATTTGGTGATTTACTTTCTTCTATCCAGTTTTTATTATTGAATCCTAATTAACAATAATGCTGTAATTCAATAATATATTTATTTGTATTTACGCTACATCAACGTTTACCTTTTAACAACATACCGACATAACCTCAATCTTACTTTTTCTTCTTATTCTTTTTATTTTGCGATTGATTTACGACACCAGGTGTCGCTGTTCCGAACTTGCACGGTCCCAATATGTAGGCTACTACAAATAAAATCAGCTGAATTCTAAGGAAAAAACAAAACAAAGACTATACTTAACACCGAGAGGAACATTTCAACCATATTACCATTCTTAAAAACAAAAATTGCAGTGGAAAATCAAGGAGTACACTAGATTCTTTGTGAAAATGGCGATAAACTGTATATCGGATAGACCAATTAATGAATATAGGTACGACGAGAAAACCATCGAAATGAAATCAAAACAAAAAAGAAAAAAGGTCATCCATAGCACAACATATGATACATACTGGAAATAAAATTAACATTAATGAAACTACAATCATAGGCGTGGCCACAGCGGCTTAAAATTACAATAGAAAAAAACTTTTAATATTGTTCTGAAGCTATTTTCTTGTGGCATTGTGAATTAATTACTATTAAACTGGGAATAAGCCACAATTAAAGATAAAAATACGTTTATTGACGTTTCAATTTCCACTTCGGAAATCGTTCTCAAAATACAAACAGTAAATTAAACAAATTTTGTTTTTTGTTACATAGTGAAAAATTCTTCTACTAATTTAATTTTATCTGACTCATTTATATTGACAATTCAGACATACATTATGCATTTTAAAGTAGACGACTTTAAAATAATATTGCCAATATTGTTGAGTTGCGCTCCTGGGACGACTTTACTTATAAGATAGTTCATTCGATTACATGAAATCAACATTAACTTGAGAATATCCGTCAGAAAAAAATCATAGCATGTAATTCGTCTTTAAAAAGACAAACACATGACATGATGACAGTAAAACTCTCCTATTAGTGATTCCATAGTAAATTATGAGGGAAAAACTAGGAAAAAAACCTCATAATACTATCTCGACATTGTAAGTATTTGTTCGTGAATTTAGTTTACCTTCAACAAACATCAAAATTCTGATTTTATATGTTACGTTATTTAAAAAAACATAAATGATGTATCCTCTATATGTTACTGACTTACTAATACTGGTATTTTCTTATTAATAACTTTCTCTTTCAATATTGGTAACCAGATCCTACTACATTCTGCCGAGGAAGAATGAAGCCAATTGTGTCGCAAATCTTTAATTGTGGCTAAAAATTACAAATAAAGTAAATATATCTTATACAGGCCCACCTACGATTGGTATTTTAAAATTGAATGCGAAATACAAAATTTTGCTCAAAGAAAATATTGAGGGAGATAGATTAAGAAGTTTTGATAAACAATTAAGTTTAAAAAACGCTCTATGTATTATCCAGATGACTTGTATTATATTTTTTGGTTTTTAAGGTAAATATTATTTATTTTATTAAAAACAAATCAATCATAAGTAATTATCGTATACAGGGTGTCCCAGACTAATTTACCCACGCTATATCTCTTAAAAGAATAGAGATTTTCAAATGGGACAAAAAGTGATCTATTCTACTTGTAAAACACTTTAATATAGCTTAAAAAAATCATCCCCTAAATATTCATCCCTTAGTTACAACCCCAACTTTAATTTTTTTTAATAGCACCGTGTATATATTTTTTATAGTTTTGGATGTGGTCTTCTATCGTCTATTCAACAAATTTATTAAAAATAAAATCGGTTTGTAAATAATTAAGAAATCAATTAATTTTTTATTTTTGTTAATTAAGTGTAGACTAATTTATCCAGGCTATATTTATTAACAAAATAGAGATTTTTTAAAGGGTCAAAAACTGATCTATTCCATTTGTAATACACTTTAATATAGCTAAGAAAAAATCATCCCCTAAATATTCATCCCTTAGTTACAACCCCTAACTTCATTTTTTTAATAGCACCCTGTACATTTTTTTCTAATTTTGGATGTGGTCTTCTATCGTCTTTAATCGATTTTTTTTAAATAAAATGGCTTTGTAAGGTATCAAGAAAATATCAGTTTATTTTTTATTTTTGTTAAATTAATCAAGATAACCTTAAAAAATAGAATTGAAAAGAAATATGTTTTATTGTTACTGAAATTAGATAAATCGTCAATATTACAAAATAAACGAATGAAAGTAAAACAAAAACAATTTATTGCAAACTTTAAATAAATTGCATATTGAACATACTACTCGTACAAATAAAATACAACCTTAGGAACAATAAAACTTAAAGGAACAATAAAAATAAATGCATTAAAAATTAGATGAAAAAATAAATCAAAACACCAACAACTAACTAACATTATTTACATTAAATGTTCGAATTGTAACCCACCTGCTGCAACACACATTTGGAATCGTTCCAGAAGATTTCTGGTACATGTGGCTTGAATCATTTCGGGAGTAATTTGGCGACAAGCTTGTCTTATTTTTTTTTTTTAATTCCTCTAAATTTTGCGGTTTTGGTTGATAAACAATATCTTTTATCGCTCCCCAAAAGAAAGAGTCAAGAGGTGACAAATCACATGAACGTGCGGCCCACATAATTTCTGGAGAGTTGTTTGCTATCCAGTGATTATAAGGACTAGGATTGTAAGGGCCTATAACACGGCCATTAAATAAACCGCACCACACTTTTATACCCCAAATATTCTGAAATCTTGTGTCCATTATCCAATATGGGTTCACGGGAGACCAATAATTGGAATTGCGATGGTTCACAACATAATTATTGTGAAATCTAGCCTCATCACTACACAATATTTTTGATAAAAAAAGTGGATCATCACTGATTTTTAACATCATTTTTGCAATAAACTCAAGACGTCTTTGGTCATCACCAGGCTGTAATCCTTGAACTAGAGCACTTTAAAAGGATGATACTTAAAATATTGAGAATTCTATACACAGAACTTTTTGGAATGCCACATTCACTAGCGAAGATTCTTACAGACACCTTGGGATTAAAATTAACATATGATAGTACATTAATAGGGTTTTGGTTATATCTTACTGTGCGTTCAATTGTACCTCTTTTATTATTAGGAAAATGTCCCTGTCTAAGTGAGCGTTCCTAATTCTTAAAGGTTTTTTCGCTTGGATTGTTTCGATTTGGAAACCTTTCTTGATATAATTGTCGGGAAATTCTCCTATTTTTTAGGCATTCTCCATAAATCAAAATTATATCAACGTACTCGTCGGGCGAAAGTAAATAAGGCGTATTGAAATGTTATAGATACACAATTACAACAAATACAATTATTACTGGTCTAATACCAAACGTCAAAAATAATAATGGTTAAATTGTTTAATGACACTATTACTAAATATAACAACAGAAAGTTAACTGTATCTAATCCTATAACACCTAGGTTATATGGACTGCCTAAAAATCCATAAACACAATTATCCCATAAGGCCTGTAGTAAGTTTTTGTAACACTCCAGTTTCTATATTATTAGAGTTTATTTACAACACAACACAGTCTATCACTAATTTTAAACCTAAGTTCTCTATTAAAAATTCTTTAGATCTAATAGAACGTTTAAACAACATTAGGATAGAAGAGGGTTTTTATTTAGTTTCTTTTGATGTTTCCAATTTGTTTACTTCTGTACCAAGAGATGAAACATTACCTTTAGTACACAACCTTCTAGACAATTGCAACATATCTGCAAAGGATAAAGATGCTATATTAACTATGCTTAAATTCTGTCTGGATCAGGACTTCTTTCAATTCAATCAAAAAATATATAAACAACCAACAGGTTTAGCAATGGGATCTCCATTATCACCTTTTCTAGCTGATATTTTCTTAGATAGCTTAGAACAGAAGTTTGTTAATAACAACAACAAAATAGTTTTTTGGTCTAGATATGTTGATGATTGTATAGCTCCCATACAGGGAACCCAAGATGATGCTTTACAGATTCTGGATGATCTTAATAACCTCCATCCTAACATCTCTTTTACTCTGGAACCAGAATCTGACAATAAGTTGAACTTCTTGGATATGACTATTTCCCGTAAGAAAGATTCTTTAGAGTACAACATTTATAGAAAACCCACCCAAACAGATCACGTTATACATGGAACGTCTAATCACCCAACTCAACATAAAATGGCTGCTTTCAACAGTTACATTCATCGGTTACTTAAATTTCCTGTCTCTGATGATAATTTCAATACAGAACTTAATACTCTTAAGCAGATTGCTTTCAATAATGGCTATGATCCCAACATTATATACAAAACTTCTAAATAGAGCTAAACTAAAAATTGCAGAAAAGCTTGCATATTCTTCACAGTTTTCCCAACCGAATGGTTCAGATAACATCAGATATTTCTCCTTCACTTATATTAGTAGCATTTCCAATAAAATATCTAAACTTTTTTCTTCTACAATTGATAACATCAAAATTTCCTTTAAATCACATAACACTTTAGGTTCCTTCTTAATCAATACCAAAGATAGGATGAATACACTTGATAAAAGTGGTATTTACAAATTAAAATGTGATGATTGTGATGCATCTTATGTAGGTAGAACCATCAGAAAGTTATCCACTAGAGTCTCTGAACATTTGAAAAGACCAAATTCTTCAAGTTTTGGTCAACACTTAGTATCCAGCAACCACAATTTTAACATCAATTCTGGTTCATCTATCTTACATGACATTAGCAGAAAGAAAAACTATCTTGAGTTGGATTTATTGGAAGATTTGGAGATTACAAGGGAAACAAATGAAAACTCTCACTGTCTTAATACTCAAATTAATTTAAATTGTACTAAATTTAATCCTATATTTAAAAACTTTATTACAGCTTCACCTCGTAGAGGACCCAGCTCGACTGTTTAGACTTCATGCACTGAATATTTCAATATTAATTTTAAAGTTCTTCCATTGACTGTGGATTCAACTGAACTACGTGGACTATAACACATTTATATATTTTGTCTTCAATTTTGATTTTAACTTTTAGTAATTTAACTGCATATTCAGATTTTTCTTTTTTACAGTACTGATAGCGCTTGGTGGACCATTTTATTGTAGTCAACCTATCCACTGTCTAATATATTGTTAGTCTTTTCTCTACATTCATACTTTATGTCAACTTCAATTGCTCTCAAACCAACATCCTAATTATTATAGACAGGTTTGAGTGTGAGATTGGAATTATTCAATCTACATAAAAAATATACTATATAATTTTATATTTCATCAGTCGATTTCCTATAGTGGTGTCAGTTGGACCTTTGGTCAATACTTAGTGTCATAGAATTTTGAAAGGTGCAGATCACATAACTGCCCTTCATAAGCTGTCATTTGTCACATGTCATCTCTACATTTCCGTCAGACCGGGAGCCCATTCTGTCTCCGGCTTCTTCACAATATGTAGCTTCTCCATATAAATTTTAAAGTGTTTGTTTGTCTTAGTGTAGTGTATTTTGTATTGTTATGTCCAGATTTTACATTTATGACATTCTACTATGTCGGATAGGCCACAATTGACGAAGTAAGTCTATAAACGTTTATCACATATAAAAATTTTTTCAACCATAAACTTGGAGTTTTTTATCCAAGTGAATTAATTTTCCTTTTTATAAAAAACGTTTCTTGGCTTATTTCAGATGCCCCTAAAGATGATCTATTGATCGAAAGTACTTGGGCAAGATTAAATTAATCACCGTGTTCGATAGTTGCCTTGTATACCCTCAAAGTTTAATTATTCGAACATTCAACCTTATATTGATTGAAAAATAATAATTGTTAATTTGGCAGATCATATCACGGCAACCTGGGAAAGAGGGAAGGAGGGAAGTCTGCCTCTTCAGAAATATAGTTGTCCAACAAGTAGTCAGCCAATTGTTGTACGGCTTGGTGTTGTGCTGGTAATATTTCACTAAAGTCTAAAGCAAATCACTCACCTACTTTTAACGGATCTAGGAAAGGTAGACCAAACATTTCTCGGAAAAAATTTTTTTTTGGAATTCTATTTTAAGTCCTTAAGTACGAATGTATCACTTATAATATTGATTAATTTTAATTATCCTATTATTACTAATTAAATGATATTTTAAGTCAATTGATTAAGTTATTTGTCCAATAAAGTTTTTTACGATTTAATTAAATTTAATTACCCACCATATATATGATAGCAGATACGTAAAAAAAGATAAATTCAATAATATCGCCGATTTATGTTTTGAGTACTACTGTACAGCTCTTTAGTTTTGAAAAATGTTGAAATACGTTTGTGGTATTGCTATCATACTTTTATCAAGTAAGTTGATTTTTTATTTTTATATTATTTACTAAGGAAATGTTTCACAAAATAAAGAAATTTTCCACATCTTTGTTTTTTATTTAGAATAATAATATTTTGTTACATATATCGCTATATTCATGTTATAATTTCTAATGTGACTCTGGGACTCTGATAATTCAATTTAAATAGTATATTCCCATTTTTATTTATTAAGCGTAAGCAGAATGCAAACTTCAGGTCTCGTTCGTATTGTAAGAGTTGACCATGATTTTCGGAGGAGGTCAAAAAACCTGGTAGTATTGTAGTGATGTATAGCATGTTTCTAATTATTTCTGTGGCTCTGCATGTCCTCCACTGGAAGTCCACATGGATATTGCTATAATTAACGTTAATTTCATCTCTAGTTGGTGGTTTTCTGAAGCGCAAACGGTGTGAGTTGGCGTCAGCGATGTGATGTCTGTCTGTATTGGTAAGTGCGGAATTTTAAGTGTTTTAAGTGTTATGTCATTTAGTGGACTGATTAGATTAGCAACCTGTTTATTCAGTTGCTCACCTATGTTTATTGGTCTTCTTCCTCCTAAATATCGTGGTAATGTTGTTCTCTCTACTGCAGTTTATCGATGATGTGTCTTTCCGAAAAGTTATCTCGTTTTCCGCTGAACTTTTTATATTCACTGTAGACATCTCTTTTACCTTTTATTTTGCCCTCTATAATCAAACGCAGTAGCCCATAACGAGGACCTCTTAATATATGACCGAAATATTCAAGTTTTCGCCTCTTAATTGTCTGTACAATTTCTTCCCTCTTATTAACCCTATCAAGGACTTCAATATTGGTAATTTTGTCTACCCATGCTATTCGTTGCATCCTTCGATAACACCAACGCTCAAAAGCTTCCAATTTCTTAATCTCCAGTTGTTTCAATATCCATGCCTCAGATCCGTAGAGCAAAGTTGTAAAAAATGTAGCAGCGCAATAACCTTATCCTTAGATCCATTCTTAGGTCTCTACTACACAATAGATGTTTCATTTTTACAAATTTTGCCCTTGCTATTTCTATACGGCTTTTAATCTCTTGCGTTTGTTCTGCGTTTTGACTAACCAATGTTCCTAGATATTTGTATTTATCTACCCTTTCTATCTGGATATTATTAATATGGAGTGTCTCGTTGTCTTTTGGATGTTTTGTAATGACCATGAATTTTGTTTTCTTTAAGTTCATTTTAATACCATATATGGTACACTTTTCATTCAGCCGTTCCAGTATGTTTGTTAGACTTTGCAGAGGTGAAGTGAATATGACAGTATCATCGGCATATCTTATATTATTAATAATTTCACCATTTATTATCATTCCATCGTTACACTCTCCTAAAGCTTCTTGGAAAATGGCATGTATTGTGGATAAGTAATTCATATATAAACAAATTTTTACTGCCTTACTCTTTGTAGTCATTTAGAATTTGGTTCAGTTTTTATTTGTTTATGGTCAATTTTTCGCTTGCTTTACTCCGCAATATTTGTACATATTATTTTCAAGTTTATTACATCTCTAGTTGGTAGTTTTCTGGAGCGCAAACGATGTGACTTGGCGTCAGGGATGTAATGTCTCTTTATTGGTAATTGCGGATCATTAAGTATTTTTTGAAACTCTTTGAACACATCTGCTCTATACACAAAGTAATAAGTAAATAGTCTGTAAGTAAATTAATGTGAGTTAGGTACCGTGCAGTGACGGTTCTCTGAGTATTATTGCGGTAGGTCTTCTGGCCATCTCTGGTCTTCTCCGAGAGAAGAATCCTGGTTGAGAAGGATGTGATAGTGGATGTTACGGCTGGGGTGCCACAGAGGTTCGTCCTTAGACCAAAGCTATGGAACCTGGCATATAATGGGGTTTTGCGCCTTGAATACCATGGGGGGCACCCCTCGCATTCGCGGATGACCTTGCATTGCTGGTAGTAGCACAAGACACAGAAAAACTTCTGTACAAAGCACAGAGTGCATGTGGCCTTGCAAAAGATTTAATGATTGAGCGCGGTCTAAAACTTGCTAAGTAGAAGAACGAGGCCGTGATCCTTAAGGGACCACGGAAACGCGAGAATGATATATTTGAGTGCGGTGGTGCGCAGATCACTCCAAAAAAGTGCGTTTAGTACTTGTCATATTTGTTTTTCTGAAGGTCAATTTGTTATTGTCGGTCGTTTAAATTTTTTTGTAGCGTTTCATATAGAACGGTCGTCATGTGAGAAGTTCGAAACCTAAAACTGGAAAGAGTCATTTTTTCTTCATGTAATGCTCTATTTAGTCTATGACATATCCTGTTAAGGTACGTTTTATCTAGTGGATTTCTCGTTTATTGCCATATGCCTCGAGCTCTTTTTTTTTCTGCTACTAGGTCTTCTATATGGAGGGGGATATTATGGTTTTCTTGCACACTTCTTTGGCGCTGTGGTGTTGCTTTCCATCCTGGTGTATATGAAACTGTTGTTAAATAGTTTACTTCGTTCTCTACATATTCGTTTTCTTTTATTCTAATATTCTAGTCTAATTTTTGTATTTACAGAATTTTGGAACACATCCCAGTTTGTTTCTTTAGCTGTGAGTTTGGGCGGTGGTGTTTTTCATATTATGTGTGTACTTAAAATTATTATTATTGTAGTGTAATCTGATGTTAAATCGAAGTTTGAGTTTATTGCACAATGTATGTCAGATATCCATTTTGTTACAGCAAAATCTATCAAATCTGAAATTTTGTTGACATCCGTAGGCCAGTATATATGTTCTCCCGTAGATAAGTATCTTAAGTTATTTTGTTGGAAGGTATTCATTAATACTCGACCTTTAGGCGTGATTATTCTGGGATTAATGAAAATCCCCCGTTATTTATATAAAACCATTGGCACATCGTCGGAAGTTCGATGGAATTCTCAACGTAGACAGAGCGGCGAATTGGTCTAAAAACTGGTCTTTTTACATCGGCTCGTCTCCAGAAAGTTCGATTGTTGTTTTTATAGCAAAGGGGAACCTATCGTCTGTCAGGTAGGTAATACCTAGAAAAATCGTAAATGAACAGAATATTAGTGATAGATATGTTTACGGTTTTTTAATATGACTCATATTTTTTTACGTAACAGTAGTATCAAACTGCTTTAAATGCTGCTTTGTATCTACAATTTTTAAAATGTTCGTATATTTGTCTATATTATTATGGGTGGAATTTGTAGCTTCTCATATAATCTATTTTTTAATCTTTCTTGTGTAATTTCTTTATCTGGGTTTTGATGTATTTTTGTTTTTGTTTATCTCTATATGTGTTTCTCTTGCTCGTCTTCGGATTGTGAAGTGATTGTTAAATAGATACTTGCTACATTAATTTATACACAGCTATACGAGGAGTTAATAAACAAAAAACATGAAATCAATAATCGATTACATTGTTGCATATTGTTAGATGAAAAAGTTTGGAAACATTACTTTTAACAAAATGAAAATTTTAGGTATTAATTGTGAAATTTATTCTGATGAGTATGATGAGAATACAGTCAACATAAGCGTGCCAAAATATGTAAAAGAAGGAGAAAATGTAACACTTCATTGTGAGTTCCATCCAAATTCCAACATATTTTCTGTGAAATGGTATAAAAAAGGACTGGAATTTTTCCGGTTTGAACCCATGGGAAACCTGCCTAAAGTATTTCTACTTCCTGGAATTTCAGTTGATGTACGTATACCACTAAATATTGGAATACAGTTGTTGTTGAAGCGAAGACTCTATACTGGTGTTGTATTACTTTTTTTCTCTTGTAGCGGTTATATTGACTACCAAATAGGGTATTACTTATAGGGGGTTAAAAATTAGCGACAGAAATGACTAAGTTCGAGATAGGGTAAGCAAAACAAACCGGAAAGTTTGCGAACGGCTACTCTTGGTTCAACTGGAGAGCTGAGTTGTGAGAAAGTAAATGAGAAAGGAACTGGAATGGGGTAACTATAAAAAAGATAAAAAAGCAAAACCAATGCTTAATAAATTTGTATTCTGAATGTAGGTCTCTCCCAATTGCTTCCACCTTTCTCTATTTTGCGCCAATCTAAATAAACTGTTTGCCTGCCACTACTCTTATGTCATCTACCCATCTTTTTAAAGTCTTCCCATGCTTCTTGTTATCGTCCTTGGTCTTCATTCTAGAATTCTCTATGTCCACCTGTTGTTAATATATCGGACAACGTGACCTGCCCAGCGTCATTTCATTTTTGTAATTTCTTTCACAATATCCCTAATCTTCGTTCTAAGTCTTATCTCGGTGTTTTTAATCTTGTCTCTCAGTGATATTACAAGCATCGTTCCATTGTTTTTTGCGTAGTTTCTAATTTTTTAGCAGATTTTTTGGTAAGAGCTACTGTCTCCAAGCCGTAAGTACAAACTGGTAGTATGCGTGTGTTATACACCTTTTTCTTTAAGATTGCAGGAATGGAGGTGTTTTTCAAGATATATGCTAGTTTCCAAAAACGTCCCATGCCAGTTGTGTTATTCTTTTAATTTCAGCATCTTGATTTGGTTTTTCTAGTTTGATGACATGACCTAGATATACATATTGTTCAAAATTTTCTATGGTATGATTTTGTATTGTTATATTTGCCTGGTCTTGACTCAGTATTTTTGTTTTACTGTAGTTCATTTTTAAGCCTACTGCTCCTAAAACTGCATTTAATTGTTGTAAGATATCATTTAGTTCTGGGATATTATTGGCTAATAAAACTATGTCATCTGCGAATTTCAAGTGGTTTAAGTATAATCCGTCTACGTTGATATCCTTGTTGTTCCATTCTAGTTTCTTAAAAATGTCTTCTAGCGCAAGGGTAAATAATTACAGTAAAGATATTTGGGAGTTCTTGTTCTAGTTCGTCAAGGTGCTCTTGGGTCCTTGTAGTTCTTATATTGTAAGTGGCTATACGAAGCAATGATGAGTAGTTTTTTTTATTAGATGTAGTCGAATATTTGCCTCACCCAGAATCCATAAGGCTGACTAATAGCTCAGTGTGAGATTCTGAATGTATAACTCCTCTCACCTGGGGTAATTTCATATTGATACTCGACATCTTCAACTTAGGAGGTCTTAGCATATTTAAAACGCCACGCTTGCCGAGCGGGTTGGCGAGTGATTCTATCCAATCCCTTATATCAGGGGATTGCCACTTCTGCCATCCACGCATACCGAAGGCATTCTTTTCCACCGTGTCTGCCGTTGTGTAATTCATCCGTGACCCTGGACAAGGGACCCTAAACAGGTACTAGTTTCCCGGGTCAGGAAACCCCTGAAATCTACGGAGGGCAGGGATTGATTCATTTTCCCTGATAGGACTATCCAGAGGAGTTCCTACCCGTTACCCTATATAAACTAAACGGTAAAAATTCAATATTTTTTTTTTATACTGTAATTTAACTAAATTTCGGTAATTTAACGCTTAGTATGCAATTTTTGTATTTTGTCGCATATGAACTCAGTTTTTATACAGGGTGAGTCATGAGGAACTTTACATACTTCTACCATATGTAGAGTCCCTCAGGGAGCATATCATGTGGCCACTAAAAAATGTCAACTCCTCTTCTTTATTAATTAACAGGGTGATTTGTGTAATTGACCATTTATTTCATTTTACTGTAGTGTTTATACGGCTCATTTGATTTTTTTAATTTTTGCATGATACAGTACACTACTATCAAGCATTCGACTGGTATTAGCTAAACTAAAAAATTCCAGGACTGGCTTTGGAAAAATTAATTTAGGGATTCGTATTAAATATTACACCCTGTATATATATTTTTTAAAAATGCAATAAGTGATTTTCAAACTACATAAATAGCCAATGAAAACGACATATGCGACAATGTTGTCGCACTTTTATTAAATTTTTAGTGAACGATCAAATCTTACCAAAAATAGAACAACCATAATGAAGTATCAAATTATAAGGTATTAATTTAAACAAATGTTATAAATTTCAAACATTTTAATTAAAATGAGTTCATACAACATAATCTAATACGTAGAAAATTAACATCTTTACTGTCACTTTGTATTATCTCTACGATAGAATCAATTGTTTTTCAATTTTAAATTTTTACTCATAGATCGTATTGGGGCATTATTTTCGATAAATAATAAATTAAATTGATTAAAAAGTCAAACCTCTTGTATGTGTTAGTTTTTGTTGATTGTAAATGATTAAAATTTTATGTCAAATAATAATACATTGCATCAACTGTACTAAATAAAAATAAATCTAAAAAAGTTTAAAATGAAGGTTGGCGTTGACCGTTTGACGTTTCTTGATATTTTATACCCATTGTCATTATTGTCATTATCAATTGTTATTTATGTGTACAAGAATACATATTTCTTCTGTCATATCTACGTTAAGTACATTGTGTTAGTTTTGGTAGAGCTTTTGTTACTTTCGTTCAAAATGCCACATCAGTTTTCGACCACAGAATATGCAGACATAATATTTGTTTATGGATTCTGTAATGGGAATGGTAGGGCTGCTAGTAGAGAATATCGCAGGAGATTTCCTAATCGTCGAACTCCCAGTCATCCAACATTTGGGTCAGTTTTTAATTATTTGCGAGAAAATGGCACTTTTCCTAGTGGAACAACAGAGCGACATGTAGATGAAGCGCAGGAAGATGACATTATGGACGCCGTTACTATGAACCCTACAATAAGCACTAGACAAGTAAGTCGAGAACTCAATGTTACTCAATCAAAAGTAAGTAGAGTCTTACAAAAAAATAATCTATACCCATATCACATTCAAATGGTTCAGCGACTACATGCTGGAGATGAGATCGATAGGTTGGAATTTTGTAGATGGATTAACAATAATCGACCAACGCTATACAGGACACTATTTACAGATGAAGCCCAATTTACCAGAGACGGGATAAATAATTCACGAAATTCACATGTGTGGGCAGAAGAAAATCCCCATGCTATTCGAGAACGTCGTTCTCAGTTAAGGTTTTCGGTTAACGTGTGGATTGGTGTCATAAATAACCAATTAGTAGGTCCTCACTTTTTTGATGGTCCTTTAACAGGGCAGGTCTATTTGAACTTTCTACAAAATATTTTGCCGAATTTGCTTGCCAACGCGAACGTTGCTATCCGAGGGATGTATTTTCAGCATGATGGGGCACCCCCACACTTTTTACTGGCAGTGAGACAACATCTCAATAATGTTTATGGCAACAGGTGGATAGGACGTGCAGGTCCTATTTCGTGGCCTTCAAGATCCCCTGATTTCAATCCCGTTGATTACCATATTTGGGGACGATTGAAGCAACTAGTTTACGCAGTGAATATTAATAACCGACAACAATTAATTGATAGAATTATACATTGTTGTAATACTATTAGAAACGATCCCCAGAGTATCCGTAATTCAATACGTCAATTAACAATTCGGCAACAAAAATGTGTACAGGCTGCAGGGTTCCATTTCGAAAATCTATTTTGAATTATTTTTATTTTGTTACCATTATTGTATCTTTTCCAGTTCTAATTTATGGGTTTATCATAACTATGTACATATTTTTAGTTTTTTTTTTAATTGTTCTTCGTTATTGTTAGTAGTTACTGTTTTTTGTTGTGCAGTGACTCAGTTTATCATTTCAATTAAAATGTTTGAAATTTATAACATTTGTTTAAATTAATTACCTTATAATTTGATACTTCATTATGGTTGTTCTATTTTTGGTAAGATTTGATCGTTCACTAAAAATTTAATAAAAGTGCGACAACATTGTCGCATATGTCGTTTTCATTGGCTATTTATGTAGTTTGAAAATCACTTATTGCATTTTAAAAAAATATATATACAGGGTGTAATATTTAATACGAATCCCTAAATTAATTTTTCCAAAGCCAGTCCTGGAATTTTTTAGTTTAGCTAATACCAGTCGAATGCTTGATAGTAGTGTACTGTATCATGCAAAAATTAAAAAAATCAAATGAGCCGTATAAACACTACAATAAAATGAAATAAATGGTCAATTACACAAATCACCCTGTTAATTAATAAAGAAGAGGAGTTGACATTTTTTAGTGGCCACATGATATGCTCCCTGAGGGACTCTACATATGGTAGAAGTATGTAAAGTTCCTCATGACTCACCCTGTATAGGTGTTAAATAATAAATAAATATGATAAAAAAATATTTTTTATCATATTTATAATCATTTTAGTAATAATTTTACTGCTAAAATCTGTAGTATTGTTCTGAAGCTATTTTCTTGTGGTATTTTAAATTAATTACTATTTAACTGTGAAAAAGCCACAATTAAAGATAAAAGTCCTAAAAAAAACGGATGGTAAAAAAAGAAAAATCAAAGAAGCGGCTCTAATTATGCTAAATGAGGTCAATTGTGTCGCAAATTCCTCGGCAGAATGTAGTAGGATCTGGTTACCAATATTGAAAGAGGAAGTTATTAATAAGAAAATACCAGTATTAGTAAGTCAGTAACATATAGAGGATACATCATTTATGTTTTTTAAATAACGAAACATATAAAATCACAATTTTGGTGTTTATTGAAGGTAAACTAAATGCACGAACAAATACTTACCATGTCGGGATAGTATTATGAGGTTTTTTTCCTGGTTTTTCCCTCATAATTTACTATGGAATCACTAGCAGGAGAATTTTACTGTCATTATGTCATGTGTTTGTCTTTTTAAAGACGAATTACATGCTATGATTTTTTCTGACGGATATTCTCAAGTTAAAGTTGATTTCATGTAATCGAATGAACTATCTTATAAGTAAAGTCGTCCCAGGAACGCAACTCAACAATATTGGCAATATCATTTTAAAGTCGTCTACTTTAAAATGCATAATGTATGTCTGAATTGTCAATATTAATGAGTCAGATAAAATTAAATTATTAGAAGAATAGTTCACTATGTAACAAAAAACAAAATTTGTTTAATTTACTGTTTGTATTTTGAGAACGATTTCCGAAGTGGAAATTGAAACGTCAATAAACGTATTTTTATCTTTAATTGTGGCTTATTCCCAGTTAAATAGTAATTAAAAACTGTAGATTATTACAAATTTTAGCTTCTTTTAAATTTCAGATAAATAGCAGCTCAGTTAACAGTGTGGTCTTAAAAAATGTACAAACCGAACTTACAAATAGATACATGTGTGAGGTAACTTGGGAAGCTCCATCATTTTATACTGTTTCGGATTCAAAAATGATGTATGTAATTGGTAAGTATACTATTTTTGATAAGCAAAAAAAAAATAAATATTATCTAGTTGACCTTTACCCTAATATTTTTCATTCCCTACGTATCAAAGCATTACTATCATATAAGAGTTATTTAATTAACAAGTGTCTTAATAAGGGCGATTTATAATTGAGATATTTTAATGCGCTCGCTCCGCTCACGCGTTAATGTTCGAGATTGTTAATCGCCATTTTGATTCACAAAGTTTTGCGTCGACCGTACTTTTCAGAAATAAAGATATCTTAGTTTAAATTTTTATTCACTTAACGATAAACAACAATTTTTTCAGCTTTCATTAACCTTATTCAAAGTTTAATTTTCTTTAGTGGTAGTTTTATGATTCTAAACAATAATATTCGAAATAGTACAACTTCTAAAATTAAAGGAAGGTATTAATAAATGGTTATCTGCTGTATAGCATTTTGACAAATTTATATTTCAGTCTTCTTGGACCTCTGTAAATTCTGTGATAAAAGAAGAAGTGGTGGTGCTGAAGAAAGTACTTTGACAAGGTTTAGTGGTATTTTGTCCCAAGATTTTTTCAGCCGTCTCAATTTTATTCTGCATAGAATCCAGCCACCGGCCACCTAGTCTTTTAATAGCTAAAAAGTCTGCACCACTGTCCCACAGTTTTGAGGCAGAGGAATGTCTAAAATAATGCCCAGTCTAGAAATGCGGATGCTGTAATTATAAGAATTTAGCAATAACGGAAGGAATTTTGGAAAACGTATTTATGCCAACTGGCACAGCCACCTTTACTTCCAAGCCATGAAGTAAAAAAGGCAACACCGCATTCTATGACGTCGGTAGTCCGATAATCAGCTGTAAGGTCTACCAGAATATTAAACTAATTTGAATTTTAGGAAACTGATAATTACAGAAATATTTTTAGGGAAATTAAATTAATAAAACCTTATATATATACCTAGTAAATATATATAAAGTTTTATTATTATTTAGGTTATATTATCAATAAAATAATCACTAGAGTAAAATTTATTGCACTTAAAATACAGTGTCAAACAGTTAATCTTACAATCAAATGCAGTCAAGAATCACTAGAAATTTTAAATATTTTAAGTACTTAAGCATATAAATAACACAAAACATTAACAGGACATTTAAAAAGATTATTAAAAATACAAAAGATATAAAATTTGCAATAAGTAAAAACTTAGTGTAACTATTATGATTAAAAAATTCATCCTAAGAAATCAGACACAATATAAATATGGTTCTAAATTAATCTAATTCAAAAAATTAAATATTTTACTATTTACTTATAACTTTTGTTGAATTTTCATACTTAGATATACAAAAGTAGCAATTTTAAATATTAATAGGTTTGTTGTCATATAGACCAAGTTAAAAGAGGTATACATGAAAAATGTGTTGAATGTAACATACCATTTATAACTTGTATATCGATTTAAAATAGCCTATATTCTCAAAAGATTTTTGAATGTAATACTCAAATTTGTTATCACTTATCTAAAAAGCAAATCTAATCGAATAAGTAAGTTCTCTAATTGTGACCATCTTGTTAATTTACTATATTGTAAAATCCATTTCAAATCATTACCACTTAATCTATTCTTACCTACATTGACGATTACAGGATTACACTAAAATTACTGCTAACTATTACACTACATATTACACAAATATTATCACACTTGTGTCCCAACTGATTAATGTTTAATACATAGAAATATACACAATCACTTGTAATTTTACTTGTCCAGTTTTTCAATGGGATATTATTGTCTAAGTCTAATTAACATAATTATGTTATCTCTTGTTCCCTCTTCTTATGCACAAAGTTTCTTCTGTCTTCGGGATTCCTTCTTTCTTTAGTACGATGAACAGTTACATATGATGATTGATGGTACTTCAGGAAATATATTAGGAACTGCATTGCCTTTTAATTTGGGAAATATTAACTTTTCAATGTGTACATTTCCATCTTTATCTTCTCATTGTTCAGTCCGCTGAATACCATCTTCATGAAAAAGTTTGGCACATACTATGGAAGATTTGGTAATTGTACAGCCTTCTCTATGAATAGAGATTGGTTTTGCAACCAGGTACACAACAATGCCAGAGCATCTGTAACAAAAAACAAAAGTATTATTATTGTTGTTTTTAGTTTACATATTTTGTAACAAGAAGCAAGAGTATTATTATTTTCAGTTTGTTTTGTAGGTTATATTTATACTTGCCTGTCGTTAAGAATCTTCTAGAAGTTCTAAATTTAATGAAATTTCACTTATATTAATATTTTCTAATTGATTTAAACACAATTTACAAATAAAACATTCGAATAAAGTTAAAAAACAATAAATTCAACAAACTTTACAAGCCTTCCTATATGAAATGTTAAACCAAAACAAACCACAGTCGGACTACCACGCGTTGTTGCCAAATTTCTACTTCATGGCTTGGAAGTAAAGGTGGCTGTGCAACTGGCTGTGTGGAACATTTGTTATTTTTATAAAAAATGAAAAATCGTTTATGTGGTGTGTGTGCCGATCTTAAAGAAATATAGTTTTTGATCGCATTGAGAATGGTATTTGCTTCGTTATCTACTATGGCGAATATTCCATTTGTGTGTGTTTTTGATACTTTTATTGTGACCAGAAACTTTGACCCTAAGTCTTGAACGTTATTTTTTTCTAATTTCAATAGTTCGTCCTTTCTTAACGCACCAGCCACTCCGAAAATCAATACAACCTAAAAAATGAAATTTTGTAAAATACAAGTAGGTATAAATATATAAACTTAACTTACTGGATTAACTTTATCATTAGTAACACGTCGTTAGGAGCATCAGAGATGAATTTCTGGAATTTCTTTTTCAAGCGTTTTTGATTTCTTTGGTACATAACTTGTTCTTTTTTCTTAATAAACATAATTATCTTAATATATTTAGATATATCTATGTTAGATTTTAAACATAAGACTGACTTTAGTATCGAATATTTGGGGCTTCTTCTTTAAGTGCCTCTTCTATCGAAAATTGTAGATCATTATAGCGATTCTAATTTTATTTACTGCTATTTTGAATAATTCGTTAGTGGTGCAGCCAAACCACCCTCTTAAATTTCCATCCAGGACATTCGTCTACGGCGTGAATTCCTGCTTCCTTGGATTTTTCCTTGAATTATATTTTGTAGGAATGTGTACTTTTGTCCTCTCATCAGGTGGCCTAAGTATTTAAGTTTTCTCTTTTTTAGATTCATGATAACTTCTGGATCTTTGTTTACTCTACGTAAATTTATTATATTATATTTGGGTCACAAACTTGCTATTAGTCATTTTTTGGCAATGTTTGAAAAATATGTCAACAATACAGATTCTAAATATCGTATTATTTTTCTCTCGTACATACAATACACACCATACAATAAATTCAGCGTATGTTTTTTCGTACAACACTCTGCTTTTTTTCAGGCAGTAAAATTAAAGATATTTCATTTGCAGTTTCTGCCACTTCTGGTGGAGTTAAATTAAACTCTTCGTCAATATCCATCTTTTAATTTTTCAAATGCACAGAATTTTAAACAATAAAGTAAATACTGATATATAATGACAGATAGTACTAACAGCGGCTACTCCATTTTAAACTTTTTAGTGGGAATATAAATAGATATATGTTTGGTTGCCTACACCACAGGTCACTGCCAATCACAGAGTGTTTAATTAATTTATGCAAGCAATGTATGTTGTGTAACAAGAGAGGTCAATCAAAAAATTATATTAAACAGTCTACGTTGTGACTGGTCAGCCAGCCACAGGCGTAGGATGATTAAACTTCCAACAGTCCAAGGTTCATAACATTTGGAACTGAAAATTAATAGGGATTCTATGAATTATTTATTGTAATAAATTTGTATTAAACTATTTGAATAAAAACAATTAATACAATTATCCAAAAGCAACATTGACATTAGTCATGCAATGTAAGTTGCATAAATCTGAGATAATGTAGAGTAAGAAATTATTATTTTAATTTATTTTATTTATTTGAAACAGGTGACAATTTTTAAAGTAAATAACATGGTAAGCCTAATTCTGCAATATTAGAGCATGATAAATTTGGCTCAAGTTACTAATGTCAGTTTTCTTATTAAGAGTGTTAGGGTGTTTAAGTACATAACACATTCCTAAAAACCGTGTTTTATCGAGATTGCGTTCAGAACCAAGAATCTTAACTTCATTAAAATCTACCCTGTGATTAGTGTTAATTGTATGTTGTGCAAGGGCACAAGTATGCTTGGATAAGTTCATATCACTGCGGTGCGTTGTAAGACGCCCTCTCAGTGATCTCCCAGTCTGACCGATGTAACACGAGTCACACTCAGCACAAGGTATATGATAAATGACATTCACTTGTTCCAGAAGGGACAGTCTTGGCATTCTTAACTGCAATTTTAACAGGTATGTTCTTGTGTTTATACTGTTTAATAAGTTTGTCAGAAACTTGAGGAAAATAAGGTAAACATGAGTAATGGGTGGTACGAGTCCCAAGTGCAGTACTAGACAGAACAGTGTCATTCATGGAATTATTTGATATTATTCTTGTCACCATTGGGTATATCATTCAAAGAGGAACCATAGCTTTGTACAAAAAGGTATTTATTAATGAGAGAAGAAGGATAAGGATTCTCAATGAGAATATTTCTAAGTAATTGAAGGGATTCCCTTCGATTAACCGGATGTGTCAATCTATTCAGCCTGCAGCTTAAGGCTTTAATTAGTTTTAATTTATATTTGAAAGGATGACAGGAATGGTAGTTGAGGAACCTATTAGAGGCCATCGGTTTCCTATACCAACTTGTGGTTAAGGTGTTATCTTCCATTCTAATGACACGCATATATATATATAATATATATATATATATATATATATATATATATATATATATATATATATATATATATATACTTCTAGCGGTTAATGTAGGCTCCGTAATAAAA